TGTGTGTGTGTGTGTGTGTGTGTGTGTGTGTGTGTGTATGTGTGTGTGTGTCTCTGTGAGTGTATGTGCGTCCTTCTCTCTATCCGTCTCCTTGTGTCTCTCTTAGTCTCTCTCCCCTTCTGCCTCCCTCCCTCTTTCTGTTGTTTCTGTATGTCAAGTCTTGATTTTCCCATAAGTGTGCAGTCAGTATCAAGTCGATATTTTCTTTTCTTTTAACTTAAAAACTTTCCCTTGTTTAGGAGCCAAAACCTCCGAAGTTTTTCACCCCCTGTCCGGGTCACTACGATGGACTGAGCAAGCCTCCAGTGGTGAGAGAACGGATCTTTATGAATTGTCTTTATTCTTTTTAAAAGCCCCTTTGGGTGCAAAGATGGGCATTTCGAAGACTATAAATTAATAAAGTTTTCAAATCTGGCAAGATACCTTCAATTAATTTCTGGCGCATCGGCTTTCCAGCCTACCTTCAAAATCACTTCGTAACTTACAAATGCAATTTGCCTTATGAATATTTACATTGCATTACAACAGAATGTCAGCCTCCCACCCCCCCCCCCCAATCCCTAAGCCCTCTTCCCATTCCTAAACTTGAGAACGCTAGTAAGAAAAGTTCATTCATGTTAATGGAATGAAAGTGAAAGAATTATTGTTGACGAGATGAATTAGGTTGTCGTCAAACAAGTAACACAAAACCTATCGTGTTCCGATGACTTATTGCTAAAGTGTGGGCGGTTGGCGGATGCTCTGGTGTGGTTTGCTCCTTCTTTCTTATCAAACATCTATGATCCTTATCCCCCCTCCTTCTTATTTGCTTTTGTTACTCTCTTGTAGCACCCGTAATCTTCGGCACTCATGTTATGCCCTATTGAGTTGCAAGTGCCGTAAAACTCGTACTAAAACACACAAAACGTTGCTAAAGTCAAACACCCTGCCCCACTTTCTTTCTTTAATATTGTTCCATTTCCCTTCTTTCTCCAAAGCGCAAGTACTTCAAACTCAGACCCAAAAAGGTGGTTGAAAACGCTTCGATGCCATCGTACGAGATTCTTACGCCTAACAACGAGATGGAATACTACAAGTGGCAGCCATGATTCATGCTAGACTATGTAATGCTCTCATCAAAAAGAAACAGCGTCCCAGTGAACATGAGCGTTATTATTATTTTTTTTTTAAAAGTTTCTAGATAGCCTTGTGACGTCACCTTAGGCCCCACTGTTGCTCGAATATATGAAAAGACACAGTGGAAATGGGCGCTCAAATTTTTTTTGCATCCTTATGGAATTATTGGTATATAATCTTAAAGGATGCTCATTTGTTTTGCTTTTGATGAAACAATACCGGTCTATCTGGAAAAAAAGTTGAGATAGTTGGTTGTGAAGGACCCTCGTGTCATAGGTAAAATTAGCCAGAAAATGTAGGGGACGTTTGGTGAATTTCACAGCTCGAGTGTTCTAAGGAATAGCAACTTTTCATGGTTTAAAATGCTTTTCCATTGTAAAATTGAAATCCAAAAAGAAATTTGTTTTAAACAGGTATATTAAGTGTTGAGCTAAAAGGAAAAAAACATTAAAGATTGTCTATCGGGTGAACAAATGTTGGTTTCTTCAATTCCATTATTTTGACTTTGATAAGCACCTGAACTCTCACAATGAATAAACCCATGGTTAGGGAATCGAGGCCAAATTAAATAATATTTTCAAAGGGAAAAAACGGGGGTGGGGGGGGATTGGGAAAGAATGGGGATTGATGCTGAAGAGCAAGAATGTTTTCAGTGAATATGTTTTTGTTACGTTGTCTCGCAAATAAACTAATTGTACCTTTTTAATGATTTGTATATCTGCAATATATATTATAATGAGTATACCTCTATTTAATTATATTTCTGTACGGTTTTTTTTCTATCTATAGTTTTCGACTGGAATATTCTGCAGTGTTACAAAGCCAAAGGTTACATAATTCGATTTCTACAAAACAGAATTATACGTTTGATTTCTCTCTTCTTATTCCGGATTCAGTAGGCTATGTTCCCTGAGGAAAGAGACAAACACTACTGACAGAGTACGAAAGATGAATTTGTACACAACTTGTTGGGTTTTTCTTTTGCTTCCTACGTATCTCCGTTAATACACATCGTGGGGTTGAAAACAGTAATGTGTGCCATTCCAGCCAGGTGGGGTTTCAGTAGAAACAAAAAAAACTCGTAGTTTTCATCGTTTTTATTTGATGTGTCGTTGTATTTTTCTGGGTTTTTTTCATGTTTCTTTGTGTTCTTTTCAAATCGTCATAGAAGTTCTAATATTTTGTTCGTTGTTTAACCCTATCAGTTCGCCTGTGGTCATTTTGTACCCCAGGGTTGTATTCTCCCCAGTTTAGAATACGTCTAGTGAGAAGATCTCTTTGAAACTTTCTGTAGATTTTTATTTATTTAAAAAAAATCATTTTTATCAAACTGCTATGCAAAGCGTACGGATCGGATTAACGAGTAAATTTCCTCTTTGGGAAGTTGTGGCATAGAGTTCCCCACGTCGTATGGATACCATAGTAAAACACGACGTACGGATAGACGGATAGGGTTAGGCTATTATTGAGATTTCTTTTTCTTCTTTTGTGTTATTTTTATTATCAAGTGCATTATGAGCTACACAATTAGCAGTTCAAATTTAACAAGGATCAGGAGATAACAAAATAACATCACAGCTGACATTGAAAGAAGGATACAGACACAGAAACTGGGGTGTTTTCCGCTGACTCCTCGGCATCTTGTACAGAGATCACATCACCAATTAGGTAGCCTACTTAGAACCAGAACTGGAAACATCAAAGTCAAAGGGTCGTATAACGACCTTCTGACTTTATTGAAAAGACGAGGTACAGGCACATCGAGCGATCATCTGGATTGGCCAAGACTACTCTAGAGAGAACAGCTCAAGTAGATGGAACTGGGCG